AAGTGACAGATGTTTTGTGCAGTTATTCCCATAGTCCCGGGAAGTTCTTTAGCATATATGGTGATTTACAGCTCAGAAATACAGGAAAGCCAAAAAAAAAGCTATTTTTTTCTCACCGTCTTAGGAATCTGCTTGAACATGGATCAACATATGTTGGAATTAATGCTGCTCTCTCTGGCCTAATAGCAAACAGTCTTTTTCGGCGTGTCTTGAACGTGACTCGTGCACGTATAGCTGCTGGCTTACCAATGGCAGTGATTCCATTTTTGACAGCACATGTATCTTATAAAGGTTTTGTAAGTTTCCCTTTAAGTACAGGTAAATTCTGTTTCACTTTAATCAGTTTATCTATATATATATTATTTATAACTTTAATACTCCCTTACATAGCTAATCCCTTAAAGTACTACCTGTATGTATATAAAAGGAGGCATGATTTCCTTTTGAAAATTTACCATGTATATTAAATTATCTGAGTATAATCCCAAAAATCTTTAGTGATGTTATATTAAAATATTGACATGGGACTGGAGAGGATGGTCATCTAAGTTATTTTAAGTACTTCTCCAAGTTTATGTAAATTGAGTATTTTGTTTGAATTCTGATAACCAGCATGACAAAACTTCTTATGGTCAAAAGAAACCTCTTGCCCAATGAACTGAAAAATTAAGTGAAAATATTAGCTCAGATGTTGATTCAGAACAAACGCAGAGGGGCCCAGCACAGTAGCCTTGTAGTTAAAGTCCTCGGCTTGCACACACCAGGATACCACATGGTTGCCGGTTCTAATCCCGCTGCCCTGCTTTCCATCTCCCTGCTGGTGGCCTGGGAAAGTAATAATGGACAGCCTTGGGACCCCTGCACGCATGCTGGAGATCTGGAAGATGTTCCTGGCTCCTGGCTTTGGATTGGCTCAGCTCCAGCCATTGTGGCCCCTTGGGGAGTGAATCATCAGATGGAAGATCTTCCTGTATCTCCTCCTGTGTATCTGACTTTCTAATAAAAAATAAAACTTCAGAATAAACTGGAAGATGCTCTTATCTAGGTTGCTTTGCTTAGTTATTCCTGGTGATTTTAGGTTACCCATACATGTAATTCTGTCTTTTAACATGCTGTACAGAATTCCACTCCCTGGATTACTACCTGAAAATAAAATCCATGATACATTTAAGGGACTTCACATTTTTAAAAATCATGTTTGATTGGCTGTCATGACTTTCACTTCCAGAGCTAATTATTTTATCTCCTAGGTGTTTTGAGTTGTGAAACATGTACCTTAATACGGGGTGGACTAGTTGGTCTTGTTCTTGGTGGCCTGTACCCTATTCTTTTAGCTATACCTGTGAACGGTGGCTTAGCAGCCAGGTGAGTGGGATTCTTGATATTCTTATGAATTCTTATTCTATATTCTTACAACAGCAAATATTTAGAACAGGTAACAATCATTTTTGAATAGAAGTTATTAAGACGTTGTTTTAACTGAATTTTACTTAAGCACTTGAAAAGCGCTAAAATTTTATCATTCTGTGCTATTCATGTATAGCTTAGACTTACTCAGCACCTGCTACAGGATTGAAAATAATACTATGCCTAATATGAAAGCTACAGTTTTCTTAGATGAGTCTGAGTATTTGAATAGGAAAAAAAAATTGTCAGAAAATGGCTGTGCCCTTGCAAAATAATTCTGGTTATTCTCTTGGGAACTCTTGCTCAGCAAGTTACTATGTGGCAATTCAGATGACCTAGAGAAAGGAGCAAAACAAAACCTTAGTACAGGGATAGATGTTTGGTGCAGTGGTTAAGGCATTGCTAGGGATACCTGCACCCCTTATCAGAGTGCCTGCATTTGAGTCCCAGATCTATTCCTAATCCTAGCCTTTGGGTACCCTGAGAGGTAGCAAGTATGCCTTAAGTACTTGAGCTAAGGGTTCCATGAAGAAGTTCCTATCTCCTAATTTTGACATGGTCCACACTGATTATTATATGGACACCTGGGGGTTGAACCTCAGGTCAGAGTTCTTGCTTTTCAATAATATATTTGATAGGGGGAGGCAGAGATGGCCTATTTATTAGCACAGAAACTCTGCTTAAGAGTCTGCATCAAAAAAAAAAAAAAAAAGATAAAATTTAGAGGTAATTATCTTAATCTGTACCTGGTTTTATCTTAAGGTTTCTAAAATTAATGTGTTCCAGGAAGGTTTGCCACCTAAAACAACAACCATTTTTAATGATGTCTCTCTTTTTTTTTTTTAAATTTTTTTTTACAGGTATCAATCAGCTCTGCTGCCAGAGAAAGGAAACATCTTCACTTACTGGATTAGAATTTCAAAGCCCGTCTTTAGGAAGATGGTATTTCCTATTATGCTCCAGACTATGTTTGCAGCATACCTGGGGTCCAGACAATATCAGATACTTATAAAGGCCCTTCAGCTACCTGAAACTGGCTTAAAGTTACACTGATTTTAAGTAAATATACGAATGAAAATGAAATGTTAGAAATAGTCTGTATGTAAGATTATGAATACAAGTTTTTCATTTATCATGTGAAATATAAGTTTGGAACTTAAACAATTACAAGGCAATAAAAAGCTGAAATACAAAAAAAAAGGCTTTCACCTTGTGACTTTTTCTAGTTTGTCCATCTTTGTCTCACACACATTGCTAACTCCATTCCTTAACATTAGGCACTGAGTCTGATCTAACACAACAGGAAAAAAATCATACAGTAATCTTCATTGAAGATTTCATAAAGCTAAACAAAACACACTCCAAGTTACTTATACTTCATTTTCTCAAGGTATTCTGAGTAATATTAATCTTCAGGATATATTTTATAATCTTATAGAAGGCCCAACCTCAATCCATATCCTTAGAGTTTTATTTTCAGAAAACAAAGGCAGTCTATCTTTGAAGCTTCCATGAAATAAGACCTGAGCCAGCAGGGTGGCGGAGCAGGTTAAGCCACTGCTGTAGACGTTTCAAATACCTGTTTGGAATCCTGGCTGTTCCACTGCTGATCAAGCTTCTTGCTAATCTACTCTGGAAGATAGTGAAAGATGGTTCAAGTACCTGTACTTCCCCATTCCCAATTTTCCTTGCAAAAATATCCCAAGTGATTCCTTATATGACTTAAATCTTTGAACCATTACTCTTTGTAAGATTTCTCACCCCTTAACCTACTTCTACAGGTCTTCCAGGTGTTTATAGAAACAACATTATTTTCTTCACTCCATTTTTCAGAATTTTTAAAGCCCTTTCATATATATATAATTTTAAGAGGAGGGAAACCTCTTATTTTCAAGCTGAAATGTCAAGTCCCTAGCCCACTTTTAAGCTGCATTGTCATGTGTTCAAAGCAGTTTCCCTTATCGCTGAAAATAATTCCTAATTTCAAAAATAAGGAACTCAGACTCAAGAATGCAAAATGTTATCAAACCCCACTGATACGGTTCTATAACTTAGTATAAATTGTTTTATTAGCATCTTAAGCATATCAATATGTACTTTTATGCTATTTGTAAATGAGTGAGTTTAAAGGTTTCTGTCACAAAGATTTCTCACATCTGTCCTCTGACCTGTATTCCTTAAACTGCATATTACTATGTTCCATCAAAAAGTGCTGTGCTTCCTGACATCAATTTCCTGTCCTTGCAGAACTTGGAAGCATCAGTGATAACTCAAGTATCTAGGCCTGGTATACCTGCCACACATGTGGACTGAGTTCCTAGCTATGGCCAAGTCCCAGCCTGTACAGGTGTTTGGAGGAACCAGCAGACAGATGGGAGCTCTTCCTCCACCTGTCCCTTCTTGCCTCACAAGTACCAGGTATTTGAAGACAACAGGATGCCATCAGTGGACAGAGTATTGAGTATACAAAAAATACTCTTCTAATCAAACAAAGCATTCTGCAAATTTCTAATAAAATTCCCTTTGATCTATAGATTACATGATAATCAAATGAAAACTATAGTAAAAAAAAACAAAAACTGGGGGGTGGGAAGAGTTAAAATATCTTACTAATTGTTCAACTTTCATCAATCACCCATTATTAGCTTTAAAATGTGACTTAAAACTAATAGTGCCCCTAACTACACCTTCAAAACCCATAATCAGGTAGTCACTAATAAAAGATAAATACTCATTATCAATGACAACCAGAATATAATAGTTATGGTCACCAAGTAGTGCTTGGTGCTTAAACTTTTGGTTTAAGAATTACAACCAGCGGGCCAAACACAGTAGCCTAGTTGCTAAAGTCCTCGCCTTGAACATGCCAGGATACCATATGGGCACTGGTTCGTGTCCCAGCTGCTCCACTTCCCATCCAGCTCCCTGTCTATGGTCTGAGAACGCAGTCAAGAATGGCCCAAAGCCTTAGGACCCTATACCCGCATGGTAGAGCCAGAATAGGTTCCTGGTTGCTGGCTTCAGATCAGTTGTTCTGGCCCTTGTGGCCACGTGGACAGTGAATCAATGGACAAAAGATCTTTCTCTGTTTCTCCTCCTCTCCATATTATCTGACTTTCTAATAAACATAAATAAATCTTTTAGAAAAGAATTAAAGCCAGCTGAACTCTAAGAACATCAACCACTTACAAATAATAGCAGCCTGGCTTCACAAGGATGGAATAAACGAGTGGATTTATTAACCTCTGAATACCGTACAAAATCAACCATACAATTCCTACCTCTTATCCCCTCCCTCATCTATCAACCGTACTCTTCCCAAATTAATCAGAATGATGACAGTCTAGACTAGATGAAGGAATATATTAACACAATCCAATGAAAATGAAATAAAACAATCCAGAGTTTTGAGTGTTTTTTGACACTTGTAACAAAGTGGAAAAATTTCAATTAAGTAAAACAACCACATGCCATGAAGTCATTGTCATCATCCAGAATACGAACACCCTTATAGAACGCTAGAGAAATTTTAATATCAACAGTAGAAACTAGATCATTCATCAGAAACCTCAAAATAAAAAAAAAATTTTAAAAAAAAGTACTCAGAGAAAGCTCCAGAAGCCAATAATCTAAGAATTCACACATCCTGGTTTTACCTAATTTTCAATTAGCTACCCAAATATTTAATCATAATCAGCTTTTTTCAAAGATTACAAATCAATACAGCTATTTTAGAAAGACTACAAAGACCTTTACATTAACTTTTATATTATACTCAGCAAGATGTCTTTCTACAAGTTAAGTCTCATGGTCCAGGGAATAAATACAAACTCATGACATGCCTTGTGATCACTGATGGTCTGTTTATGTAATTCTAGTCCACTAAATGTAACTTCATAGAACGTGCTCTCAATTATATAAAGACTCTAGTATTTCTTGATGAAATACTCTAACTCTTCTCCAGTGGTTACAGTTTTTAAAAGGTATGCAAAGAAGTGTCACTCCCATGAAAGACAAAAAAATTCTAATTTTTGTTCCAAAATTAACTCTCATGTATTTCTATTAAGTCTTTCAAGGACTCCAGAGAATCTTTTCATATCTCCATTTCTGGAAAGTGAAATCAGTACAGAAGTAATTTGGGAACTTGAAAATGGCATTCTTTTTTTTTTTTTTCAGCAGATGCCAAATTTTTGACCGACATGGCTCCCACAATTACTTTGTTACCATCAGTCCAGTCAGTTAACAGGTTGTAGGAAAAGATTCGTTTTTGCAGACACTGCTAAGCTGTTTGAAGAGAAGAGAGAGAGATTAATTTAGTGATCACAAAATGTACAAATATTTAAAATATTCTGAACACGCAGAGGTGTGACTACATTCTTAATGAACGTGGACTTTTTAGTTCAAGTCTGGTCAAGGAAGTACAGAAACAGTAAAGTCAATATGATAGAAATGATAGGTCAATATGTGTTAGTTCAATTAATGTATGAATTCCTACTACCATCAGAAGACAAATATTAAGAAGCTATATCTTTAGTTCAGTTCTGTATTATTTTATCATTGAGGCATAAGTAGGGGAAAAAAAGTGAAAAGGCCCCCCAGTACTACACTGTTTCCAATCATTACAATAAATAAAGCCAACAGGAAAATTTAAAACACGATCCATTTTATATTTCAGAAATCTCCTTTATCGAAATATTAATCATTCGAAACACAATTTTCTAAAAATAGTAAGACAACAGTTTCATATTAATCATAACTTTTAATTAACAAGTAGTGAATAGGACACTTTAAGATATTTACTACATACTCAAATAAACACACCTGTTGTAAATTCAAAAACTCAAACATTTACAGTAAAATGTGCTTACACATAAATTTAAAGCCCCTGTTAGATAGGTCCTAATACATGCAATTACCATGTAAAAACAAGACCATGAGTTGATGTAAAAAAAATGACAAAAATCACTAAGTCACCAAAACTAGAAAAAAATTAATGAAATGGAAACTAAGAAAAGACAGTTAATAAAAACATAAGGAACCTAACAAAGCAGCTTTAAAAATAGGTCATACTAATCTTTTCCATCTTCAAAATTTCTCAAGTAATTCCAAAACTGCCATTTATAAAATGACAATCTAAAAATCTACACTTAGAATTCAAAACATCTCAATTCAGAAAGTTTGGACTATTGTTTCCCCCCAACCCCAAACTTCAAATAATGGCAAGAGAAGCACTGACTTTAGGAAATAAATATTCCAAGAGAATGATATAATTTTTAGAAAAGCGAACTTACTGCTTCCAGAACCTTTTGATTAAGACCCACAGTCAGCATTAACAACAAGCATTTTTCCTATTTTCATCCATTATTTTCCAATGTCATGTTAGAGATGAATAAATTCTTTGAGCCATAACTGAAAGATCAACAAATCTGGTTTTATTATGACACCGTATTTTTTGTCATTGGAACTGCACAAAATTATATACAAAGAAATATATACAAAAAGTTCAAGTATTAGTTAAATTTCAATTCAAGGCTTCTATTTCAAAAAGCTACATTTAACATTTCATAAAGATAGCACAAATTAGTCATTTCAAATAATTTTCCAACTACTTTTGGTTTATATATATATATATATATATGTATATTTATTATTCAGTAGGCACTAAAAATCCATGCAGCTGCATTGTGAGGGGCTTGCTCCTGCCCTTTTGTGTAAGCAGGTTCAACACTCCAGGTTGTGAGTTTAGCTACTACCCATTCATGCTCAAGTGCAGTAGATGATTTTACAGAATATGCTGTGATGCACTGGAAACCAGAGACCAATCTAGGTCTCAAATCTTATTATCTAGCAACAGATCATTTACAGTTGTGCAAGAACAAGATTCCATTTCATAACCAAGTAACAACAAAATAAAACATTTCATAAGATAACTTACATCTTTGGACTGCTGGAAAATACTTTTTAATTATGAACATTTTAAAAACAAAAGACAGCAGAAGCCCTGATATTACCTCTTTTTCCTCATTTCTTATACTACCTTTTAAAATAAAGCAGGAAATGTGGCCAGCAGCTGGTCCCGTCTCTTCTGCCCCAACAGCTGTATCCACTTTAGCACAAAGAAAAACAAGGATGCTAAATACGTATATACTTCATCAAACAGTGATGTTTCACAAAGAATTTAATACTTTTTACACTGAAAGACACCATAACTGAATTTAGGCAAGTGAACAATACATAGTGGGGCATTTCAAGGATGAATGCATCATCCCATCTTTGGAAAAATAGCATCATCCATGTCATTTAAATGGCCACAACCACTCCATTTTAAAAATTATTTTTAATTAGGATGAATACTTTTGAAACATAAAGGGTAGGATTCTTTGTGAAGCTTCACTTTACATGTTTTCATTCACATTTCACAGCTTTCAATATCTAACCATACATAAATTTAACGTAAAAATTTGATACAACATAAAATAATTGCTTTCAATGACTTATTCATATTGAGTCTTAAGTTAATCGCTGTGCTGGTCCTCAAAGAAACACGACAGTAACCATTCATATTCTTTCCCCAGTTAACTAAAACACAACAAGGAATCTTATATGCATGTACATTTCCACTTTTTCTAATGAAAATTAAAATCTGGTACTCTCAGTAAATTGTATTTCTTCTGTAAATTCTACTGAAAACTAAAAGGCATTCTTGAATAGTTCAGAGATTTCTGTCATCTCCAGCAAAATAACTATCACATTGTGTGCATGCTCCAAATAGTTGTTGTCAACCTCTGAAAAGTTGCATTAAAACTGGAATTCCAATTTGCACCTTGTACAACTCGGAACTTCCATTCAACTTCACCTGTTTCACTGTCTCCAAACTGTTATCTCTATAAGCAGGTTTCAGTGTACAGTTGGAACCGATGTCATCCAAGGCCATGTCCACACTGGGGACAGAAGAGCTAGGTACACGCCAAGTCTGAACAAGGGGACACATTAGCAGCTATTTCAACCAGAAGAAGCATCTTAAAACACATTGTTGACCAGCACAAGTCTGTTTCCAGGGTGGACAGGGCCCAAATCAGATTCCCCTCCCGCCTTCCAAAAAAAAAAAGGAAAACAAAACAAAAAGGTCACACACACACACACAAATTGAGATGTTGCCCATTAAGTAGACTAAGCAGCAGAGCATGAGCGTTACGGGAAGAGATGGATCCTTACCAGGTTGTGAGGCGGGAACGACTGCTCTGTACCCCTACAACGGAGCCTGGCAGGAAGGAAATCACCTAAAAAAGAAACTGTCAGAGAGATTTAATAGTCACAGGTTATCATTAGGAGTTGGTTACAGTGTCACATTCATGCTTTTTTAGCTAAACATTTAAAGATTCAATATTACTTTTTTTTTCCTCCTCTGAAATGTGTCCAGTGAAGATGTCCCACTAAGGTGTTTTACATGGTGTAAGGGAGTTGAAGGGGGTAAACGCGGATAAAGAGCAGATTACTTGACCCTACATTTTAAGAGAAGACGACGCCTTCCGAGCGCACGCCGAGCAGAACTCCACCGACACCTTATCCTTGTCCACATGCAGACACACTCCTCCCGCGGCGTCGTCCTCGTCCAGCGCGTCCTGCTGCTGCTGCTGCTGCTGCTGCTGCTGCTGCTTTCCCACGGGCAGCGCGTAGTCGTGGTCCCCGGCGGGCGAGTCTCTGAAGAGCGAGGTGGTCAGCCGCAGTCCCACGCCGCTCAGCCGGCTCAGCAAGCGAGCCAGTCCGGTCTCGTTGGCCAGGACGGCCCGTAGGTAGCGACTCTCCTCCTGCAGCGCCTGCACGCGTTTGCTCAGCTCCCGATTCTCGGCCCGCAGCTCCTGGTTCTCGGCTGCCAGCCCGCGCACCCGACTCTCCAGCCCCATCACGTACTCCTTCTTCTTGAGCCGGTTGAGCCGGGCAGCCGCCGCCGCCGCCTTCCGGGGACTCTTGGTCGCCGCCTGGCTGTGGTCGTTGCCGCCGCCCCCGCCGCCGCCTGCGGGGGACTTTCTCCGCCTCTTTTCGCCGCTGCCACTGTCACTGCCGCTGCTGCAGCCTCCGATGCCGTTCAACAGCCTCTGCAGCAGGTCGGAGAAGCGCTGCATCTCGGCGGCCGCGGCCTCGTCGTCGTCCTCGCCTCTCCAGAGGCCGCCGCTCTCCGAACCTCCGCCCGACGAGGAGAGAGGACCGGGCGAGCTGAGCCCGGGCTCCAGGTGCCAGTCCGGCTGCCGAGGGTCCAGCAGATCCGCCAGCTCCAGCCCCGACAGAAAGTCCATGTCCTCGGCCTCTTCGCCCGGGACGCTGGCCATTGCCTCTTCCTCCATCTCCTCGGGGGAGGGCGCGCGGTCGGCCAGGCCGCCGCCGCCGCCGCCGCCGCCGCGGCTCCCCCTCCCGGCCTCCAACTCGTCCCCGTCGCCGTGCGGCTCCCGGCGGCCGGGAGATCCGGCCGCCGCCGTCTGCTTCTCCCCGTCGGCCGCCGGCGCCGCGTCCCGGCTCGGGTCCCGGCTCCGCGAGCAGGTCGCGGCCGGCGCCGGGCTCTCGCTGCGGGTCGGGGAGTCGCTGCCCGACGCTGCCAGCAGCTTGGTCAGGCTATGCCTCATGGGGCCCGGCGACGGGCCCACGCAGGCCCCGGCCCCACGCAGGCCCCCAAGGCCCCAGGCCCCAGCGCAGGCAGCCGGGGCGCCGGGCGAGACCAGGTGGAGGTTCCGTTCCGGCCTCCTCCCGCCGCGCTCGGCTGCTGGACCCCCCGCACCGGCGCGGGGGGCAGGAAGGGGAGATGGAAGCGGGGCGGCCCAGCGATGACTCGACCGCGCCACCCAGACAACGGCCTGGCCGGAAGTCTGTCGTCCTCCCGGCAACCCCTCCCACCGCCTTTCGCGCGCCACCAGGCAGTGGTATCGCGAGAGTTCAAGGTGCTTTGGAGTAACAGGAATTCTAGGTTTACAGTGATGTCATCGGAACAGCGGAGAATATAATAAGGGCCAGATGTATTCCCCCAGATCGATAATGCTACCCGACATCCAGACTGGAAAATCCAGCACTTTACATATTTGACATTTTCTTCTTCCGTGCAAATGGTCATAAGCAATTGTTTGTGTAAATCCTCCTCGAATTGCAAACCGAAAGCCACACCCCTGGGTATTCATTTGTATCCCTGAAAACAGAAGTTCTCTTTCATAACCGTAATGCTAGTATCCTTTTCTGAGGAAAGTACCATTCCCGTATTGATACTATCCAATACCCGGGCTGAACTCAGATGACCTTAGTTTCAAAATAATTGTTTTCTAGCAGACACTGCATTCTGATCTGGATTTCAAGCAGAAGTCAATTATTGCGTTTGGTTATAACAGGGTCTTCTTTTGTTACTATTGGGAGGTATTGTTTTGGCTGTTATTTTATTTCTTATTTATTTTTTACTCAAGCTAGAAATGATTCCTCCACTTAACTAGTTTTTCCAAAAATTGTTTTTTCAAAGAAACTATGTCGATTATTTTGAATACAGCACAGACTGGATATGTCTGTAGTGTCACAGTGTCGGCCTACTTCTATTCCCTGAAGTATTTGAGATTTGAAACAATATGTAAGTTTGCTATATTCCAGTCAAACAAATGAAAACATCGTCAAAATAGGCAGATAAAGAGTTTTGAGGCTAGAAAAAAATTAGCATTGCGATAGTATGCGAGCAGTATCTTAAGGAGTTACTGAAGTTGGCCTAAATATAGATTAAGTATCCTGGCAGTGCAAACCAAAAAGAGTAACTTTCCTTACCTTATTTATACATGAAGTATTTATAAATTCTTTAATCACCTTTCTACTTCAAAGCTCTTATAGGTCTCCTTGGGAGAGTGAATAATTCAATGAGGCTAAAAATAGCTTCTTTCATACCACTCTGCTTCTTAAAGAGACAGAAAGTAAGTCCCAGTAAAACGGGGTAATGATAGTCACCGAATATTAAAAAAAATATGGGGGCCTGCAGGCTAATCCTCCACCTGCTAGCACCTTATACGAGCTGCAGTTCCTGTCCTAGGTGCTCCAGTTCTGATACAGTTCCCAGCTTATGACCTGGAAAAGCAGTGGAGGAAAGTCTAAGTCCCTGGGCCCCCGCACCCAAAGAGGGCACCCAGAAGAAGCTCCTGGCTCCCAATTTCAGATCTGCTCAGTTCTGTCCATTGCAGCCATTCGGAGAAGGAACTAGCAGATGGAATACCTCTTTCTTGCTGTTTCTCCTTCTCTGGAAAATCTATCTTTCAAATAAAAATAATTTTTTGAAAATTTGTTTATTTTTATTGGGAAGTCAGATATACAGAGAAGAGGAGAAATAAAGAGGAAGATCTTCTGTTTGATGATTCACTCCCCACGTGGCTACAATGACCAGAGCCGATGAAGCCAGGAGCTGCTTCTGGGTGTCCCACGCGGGTGCAGGGTCCCCAGGCATTGGGCCGTCCTGGACTGCTTTCCCAGGCTACAGAGAGCTGGATGAGAAAAGGTGCCGCTGGGATTGGAACCGGCATCCATATGGGATCCTGGTTCGTGCAAGGTATGGACTTTTTTTCTGGTCCCAGAAATGGTTTGTAGGCATGTGTTTCCTCAGTCTTGCATTCACAAAGATGAAGTTCGCACATGAACAGGAAGGCTCACCTCCATTGCTGAGATCATTCCTGCTGCCACGCACACCCTCAATAGGGGCTGGGCCTCTAAGGACATTTTGGGAACCCGTGTTTTTAGGTGTTCTGTTGGAATGTACTCTTTCAGGCCTAAAAGCAAGGTTGAGCGGCTGGCATTGTAGGGCCACAGTCAAAAGCATCCACTTCTGAGGCTAGCATCCCATACTGGAGTGCCTGTCTGAACTCCGGCACTGGAATTCTGCTTCTTATCCAGGTCCCTGCGAATGTGAAGGCAGCGAGAAGTGGCCGAAGTACCTGAGCCCCTGTCACCCCGGTAGGAGTCCCAAATGGAGTGCTTGGCTCCTGGCTTCAGCCTGACCTGGACTTGGCTGTGGCGGCCATTGCAGAAAGCACAGATGGAAGCTCGCTCTCTTTCCGTGTTGCACTGCCATTCAAATCAATCTATACACAAGAGCAATAGGAGCTGAGAGTCCTACGAGGTCTCGGCTGTGGGATGAGGAGCCTCACGCTCGGCCTCTGGTGGTCTAGGGAGGAGCCTCCTGCTTCCACGGGGTTCCTAGTTCCCGGGTGGGAACCGGATGACACTGTCCGCTGTCCTGGATGATCTACTTCCGATCCAGTTTCTTGTTTACAGCCTGGGAAGGCAGCAGAGAATGACTCAAGTCCTTGGGACCCTGAACTCATGTGGGAGAGCTGGAAGAAGCTCCTGGCTCCTGGCTCCTGGCTCCTGGCTCCTGACTTCAGATCAGCTTAGCTCTGGCCATTATGGCCATTTGGGCAGTGAACCAGCAATGGAAGAGCTCATTTTCTCTCTCATCTTTCCTTATCTCTGTAAATCTGCCTTTCAAATAAAAGTGAATACATCTTTAAAAAAAAAACACTCTTTAAAAAACAAAGTCTATAAATATCGAAAAATGTTTTAAAAAGTAAAAATGATTACCATTTGTACCCAATTAAATTAGGGACAAATTGCTTGTATACCTCCCAATTATTCAAAGCGCTAGGTCAAACTCCAGCCCTAGATTGATATCTCTAGTTTCTTTGAACAAGACAAAACCTCCCCACACCCATTTCCCCCAGTGTTGTTTGAAATTAGGTCAACTTGTTTTTTTGAATTTCTATATTCTATATTCATCTATTTGCTTTCTCGTGTCATTATTTTACTTTTTTCACCATTCCTCTTTTTTGTTGGGTTTTTTTTTTTTTTTTTTTTGCAAATGGGAAGTAGGTTTTTAATGCTTAATTACCTTAAGGTTCATTTATTTTTGGCAGGAATACTGCCTAGGAACTATTCCTAGGAGATGCTGCCCGGTTTTTTTCTCTGCAACGCGTCGGGAAGCATCTAGCTGCCCTGTTTTTAGTGACAGTAACATTGAGCCAAGTTTTTAAAGACAACAGTCTAATTCTAAAATTCTCCATTAATCTTTTGATGAGCAGTGCCTCAACAACTTATTTCATTAGAAATTACATACTAGTGATTTTTAAAATCTCTCCTTTTACTTGGAATCTTCTATAGAAAAACAAAACAAAAATAAAAACAACCTATCACTTCTGAGTCATTTTGTTAGCCCAAAATATACAAAGCAGGAAATGTAATGCTAGTGTAAATCCTGAAGCCAGCCAGTCAGGGTGCTTTTGTGTTGTGAAAATATCCTTCAGCTGGTTTCCAAGTAACAGAACTGTTCAACAAACCTCAACCATGACCAAGGAAACATCAGCTGAAAGTGAACAAACAGAAATTGTACCTTAAGAAGCAATGAGTGTTACATCTTAGGGCCATTGTAGAAAAAGTGTTTAATAACCTCATTGTTGTCCTTCCTCTGCATTTAGGATGAGTGTGGGAATGTTACATAGCTCTTTAACCTATAATCAGGAATCTGTTAGCTATTTTCAGGTATTCAGTTTTCAATGTGATTGATAACCACACAAAAAATTGTATTGTTTTAGATCTCAGTCAATGCATGCACTCACTCTGCAAGAGAGGTATAAAACCTGTCAGCAAGCCAGGCTTGTGGAACAGTCAACTCGAGTTTTTAAGCCTCACTTTGACTAACTGTTTAAATTTTCACTTTGATCTTTCAACTTGATTCAAAATTTTCAATTAACAGCAGGATAAATGCTTAGTTAATTCTCTTTGAACAATTATTGGAGTAAGGAGTAGTTGACCAAAAAGATTTGTGTTTATTTTATTTTCCCTGCTGTTACTTTATGATTTTGTTTGTGTATCATAATGGAATAATAATTTATAAGCTTTTTAAAAGATTTATTCTCTTTTTTATTGCAAAGTAGGATATATAGAGAGACAGAGAGGAAGATCTTCCATCTACTGATTCACACCCCAAGCAGCCGCAACAGCCAGACCTGAGCCGACCAGAAGCCAGAAGCCCACAACCTCTTCTGAGTTTCCCACACAGGAGCAGGGCCCCAGTGCTTTGGGCCATCCTTGACTGCTTTCCCAGGCCACAAGCAAGGGAGCTGTGAATAATTTTTTTTCAATTATCCTCCATGGCTTTTGAAACCTGCACAAATTTAGTTCTCATATATTTTTGACACAGCCTTCTAAGACTTGATAGTTTATTACTTTTTGACGAAGAAAGCAAATCTTATCGTCTGACTGCAATCCACCCTTTCTCCAAGGAATCCTCCTTTGATTTAACAAACAGTTTTTGTAGGTCACAAGGCTGCAGGGATGTGCACTGTACTAGACTGGGCTTTACTTTTAAGACTTCCACTTGACAGACTAGACAACAGAGTTTTTGTATTTGTTTTTTAAACAAAAACTATCGCAGGTATAAGTTTTAGTTTTCATGAGAGCCAGAGAAGCAGAGAGCTCCAACTCACTGATTCACTCCTCAAATGCTCACAACAGCCAGGATCAGGCCAAAGTCAAAGCCAAAGCCAGGAGTTGGGAATTCATTCCAGGTCTTCCATGTGAGTGGCAAGGACTCAACTACTCAAGCTGTTACTTGCTGCCTCTCAGGGTTTGCAGTAGAAGAAACTGGAATTGGAAATTGCAGTCAGAATCTGAACCCAGAGACTCTAAGAAGGGATGTATCGGAGATTTCCTCTCTCCCTATTCCACCTTCCCCCTGGCTGATTTCTCCTATATTATTACGTTATTATAGTCCTCCAACAACAATTACAAGTCCATCATCCAGATTCAGTCTTTACTACGAGGCCAAATATCTATCATTGTCAT